CTAAGCAGGAAGTGTGAATCAGGCGGTATAGCAATACCAGACTTCAAACTATACTACAGAGCAATAGTTACAAAAGAAATATTCTTGAAATGATACTGGACCTAATTTTAAGGAATTTTTTTAAAAAACAGATTCTCACCATTGACAACCAAATAGTTCTATTTACAATGCTGATGATTTTCTGTTCCTAACTCTTGTATGCCTGAAATTTTTCTTTTCTACCCTTATGTTTAGTACTGTTTCCTACTCCATCCTCACATAGTCAGTAATTAAATGGTGTTTCCCCTGGGCATCTAAGCAGTTTGGGCTTGGTCCTTATCCTTATTTGGCAGTGATAAATAGTGTTGATTGAAGGAAATATGATGTAGCTAGCCATCAAAGACCTTATTGTAAACAAACTTGTCAAATGACAAATTTTAGAAAAGTTTTGCCCACTCCTACCAGTTCCTCTGGTACTCTCCTCTGCTGTGTTACCTTCTTCATAAAATTCTTCATGAGATCTGGTCCCCCAAAGACTGTGTTGTAGCGTGGGATTCCCCAGGATACAGATTCTGGCATGGAGCTGTACAGGAAGGGGTTTTATTGGGGAGGACTCTTGGGAACCACACTGGCAAAGGGATGGGGGAGCTGGGCAGAGGGAGAAATTGAGCTGCAGCACAGTTGCAAAAGCAATTAATGCTACCCTTTGATGTTGCAGAGAAGTTCCAAATCAGTCATGGAATTCGGACTACTCCAGGGAAGAGGTATGAACTCAGGTGAGACAGTGTTCAGCAGTTGAGGGACTTACTGTCAGCGGTAATGCTTCTAGCATCTGCAGGATGAGCACGCAAGTGGATCAGGGTGATATAGTATGGTGTCCACTATGATTGGTCTAGTAAAAGTTCTTGGGGGCCCAATGCCCTTCCTTTTAAGTACACATGGGAGTGCATTGTGATTGTATGTTCATATGTTAGTCTAAGACCAGGCTCCAGCATCCAGAAGAAACATGGTTCAGAATAGGCCTTGGATAAATGTTGAAGTTTATGTAGGAAAGGGGTTTATTTGTTTCTCCTAGCTATTGCAGTAAGCATGGAATTTAATATGTCCTACTATCCTCCAAAAACGGGGTCAAAACAATTGTTTTCAGTTTTGTTCTGGAGAAGCTGTGTGACTTAAGCTCTGGGGAAAAAAATCTGTGGAGGACACATTTTGGAAAAAGTGGAAAACCTCAAAAAATACCTACCAGGTGCCTTGATCATAAACAGGCACAGAGAAGCAGAGGCTGAGAGGGACAACTGCCCACAGAACTGGACGGTAATGGCCAGATGTCCCAAGACATTGTTTCCCTGCAGTTGCTCACAGGTGTGACTACTTTGGTTGGCACTTAGTGAAAGCTTCCATAGTTACTGCTTTCAAGTGTCCCCAAAAGTCAACCAGTTCTTAACTCACCACCAGTCAGGTAAGAAAAAGAGTTGAAAGGCGGCAACATCAACAGGAAATAAAACATTTTTATTGAATATCCAGGTCATATGGTAAGTCATTTTTAACAACGACCAGAAAACTACTGTGGAATTCACTACACAAAGTGAAACAAAATTTAAACCACCTCATCAAAAAATGAAGGTAAAATACAGCTAAAGTAGTGGGCTCGCGGGCCACGAGCCTTATGGCAGAAGAAAACACCCCAACATTTCTACAAGACACAGAAAACCCACACATAGAAACACTCAAGCAGGCAGTAAATATACACAAAGGCAACTAGGATCTTTCTACGGCATCAGATTCTAATACTTTACACAGCTTTGTCAGAAAGGTACATGTGGCTTATCTAAAGATGAATCCTGGTCATAAAGCAGGTTTGGTCACCGACTTATGAGAGATGACATAGTACCAACTAATTCTACGGTGACAATCCCCTGTTGGCAGTGTTGCAAGAGAATGCATTACCAGTACTTTCTTGCAGGAAGTAATGTCTGCTCAGCAGCTTGAACCTGCTCATTTTAAAGTGTTGTTTCATTGTGCACAACTCAAAGCTGAGGACGGTGAAGTTAAATGTCAGTGTCTGGTATTTAAGGAATTTTTAAAAGTCATCTCCCCCTCTTTGGTAGGGTTTGGTCCTTTAAATTGGAACAAGTCTCATTTGAATTGTGTTCAAACTGATATTTGATCTTACATTATGACTTGTGCATTTTCTATTATCTCTCTCTGTGTGTGTGTGTGTGTGTGTTTTAAAGAAGTATGAACCATCAGCAGAAGGAGATGTCATTCTCCTTTTATCCTTTGTGTCTGTTTCATTAGTTAAGAGTTTGCTGTGATGGGGTAAAAGGTGAAAGGGCTTGCCTCTTCTTTGATGAGGAAAGAAAAATGACAGGGATTCTTATTTTATTGAGAAACAGCCAACCCCATGTTTAAAGTCTACCATCAGCCCTTTTTGAATTCTCTTTGAGTTTTTTACAAAACATGGAGTGATACTCTTGAAGACTGAACATGAGACCAATGCTTGGTTCTCCTCCATTTGATTTTGGTATGTGTGAAGATAAACTCTGGCTTTAGAGCATCACTGTTTTCTATGACCTCAAAGTTCCAACTGGTCACAGAAGCAAGTAAGAGAAAAGACTAGAAGCAGCATGGGATAGATAAAAGGCTGCCCTTCCACAAGTGGCTGTCTACTATAGTGGGGGAAAATATGGAATATTGCACAGTGCTTGACAAAATGCTGTGTGTTCCACCACAGTCGACGTGTCCTTCTTGTCCTATGCATAGCTTTTCAGTTCTGAATTGGTCCTTTGTAATGAGAACTGTTTGTGCTACACACACCTTGGGCAGTGCAGTAGAAGGGAATGGCAGTATTGTTACAATATCACTACGGAATAAATTGAGTGCTATCCACTGAGGAAACTACGTGTCTAAGCACACACGGCAGTCACAGTGTTACACAGAGCAGTCCTTTAAGACTTGTATGGAATGACTAATAGCTTCATAATAGTGCCAATTACTACATAATAACATTGAAACATTTAAAAACTCCTCCTAAATCAAGCATCTAGTGTACATAAGAGGTTGCTTCAGTTTTCTAGAACTTGTTCTTGGTTTTGTTTCACCTTTGTTTAAAGGACAAATTAAAACTTATTTAAGTAAAAAGAGTATATAAAAAGATCACTAGCTGTCTGTTTTGGCTTAATTGAAGTGCATTCAGAACTATGGCTAATTAGGTTTTTTTTTCATCTTTGATGGGATTACAATACTGTCTGTTTACCACAAAGTAATTTTGTGTAATAAGCACAGATTGCTGTGTTAAAAATATTCTGCATTCCTTCTAATCTGGTTTTGTATAATAAAATATTTTGTTACAAAGTCTAATGTGCAAACCTTTTGGAATCATTATAGGTGTGAAATCTGGAACAGAATTCACAGGATGCACATTTTGTATAAAGGTGATAATGGAGAGCTATTTTTTTTCTTTTTAAATAGGCAATATTTCAGAAATGCTGACTTTTCCCCTCAGTTTCTCCTCCCCCACCCATCCCCAAACAAATGTGTGCTCCACACATGCACACAAACACATACACTCATACGTTCATACGCCCTTGCATACTCACTGAACACCATATCCTGTCATTACTCTACATGCAGTAATGTGAATTCATTGACTCCTGTTCTGTTGCTTCCTCAAATATAAGAGTGAAGCCATGATTTTAGCTTTGTAGAATGTACAGACAGATGCTTTTCTGGTTTGTGGCTATACTTCCTTGAGGTCGGCCTGGATGCTGCTCAGATCATGCTATTTTGCCTGTGAAGGAATTCTACAAAATTGGATTCACCCACCGAATATGTGGTGGAAGTGTATCTTGGTACTCAAATGATTCAATAGAAAGCTCAGGTTTAAGTTGTCCTTTAAGATGTCAGTTTAACTGTACTAGTGCCTTACAAGTTGATATTTTTGCTGGAATGCAGACGATACTATATTTACCATATAATATATTATCAGCTCTCCTATATCTCAGTCAATTTACATAGTTTAAAATAGAACATCTTATTAAAAACATCTAGATATACACATATTAGGAAACACAACATACAAATACACAAACTAGAAATAAATCTTTAGCATACTGGTATATACAACAGTGTGATACAATAAATAATTTCCGTCATGCTCTATCTACACATCATATTGCTTAAAAGAAGAGTAGATTTGGAGGGCAGTGGTATGATGAAGGGCACAGGGGCTCTCTACACTTAAATTTGTGCAAATTAAAACAGGATTTGAAGTACCACTGAATTGTGTTAGGAATGCATGGCTGGAAAGATGAAAGGACCCATATTACTGAGGTATTTACAGATACTGGCTAAAGAGCACTATGTGGGCAAATGCAGAAAGGCTTCTTCTTCCCTTTACTTCTTGACAGCCAGCATGGCATCGACTTCCTCCTCCACCTGTAGGGTGTGCCACTGGGCAATAGGTCGCCTGGGGTTGGCCAGCATGTCTGACCAGTGTCGCAGCTCCGCGCCAGTGCTATTGTAGCCCACAAAGACTTTGCCGATGGCATCGTTCTTGCCAATCTTGTCATAGTCCAAAACAGTTACCACCACTTGCACTTTCTGAAAGAGGGCACAAAATGAATATATATCATCTTGCTGTAGAGAAACAGCCCTATTACAATGCTTCTTTGAGATCTAAGTGAACGAAAATAAGAAGAATCAATCTACAACCACCAGGATGAGACTGAAAATGACCTACCTGCACATGAAAACTTGAGTCCAATATTTATTTTTCCACTACTACCTCATCACCACCACCACCATCATCAGGGCCATAATCTCAATATTTGAATGTTCATTTTTATTATGTGCATTGCAGTATCTTGAATCTCATATATATTAACTCAATTATTTCTCTTGGTAGATCCTGTTGACTTGCTATTATACAGATAAGGATGTCAAGAGAAGCTATCTAACCTGTCTGAGATTGCATAAGGAATGAGTAAGTTGTTTTCCAGGTCCTGGGCTGTAAACTACATGAGCCATGTCACGTCAGCCTCTAAATCCCCTATCTCGTCAGTGAGAATTCCAGTATTAGCAATAGTACATTTTTGCTGTTGCTATTAATTTGATTAAAATTCTCCAAGTAGCCATGTGTTTATTATCCCTTTTCAGGAAGGAATAGCTAGCATTTTATGTGAAACTAATATAGAATATCAGTTAATCATGATTATGAACATAAAATGTGACAATATAGTGAATGTCTTTAAAAAATGGTAACAAAATAAGTTTTTTTTTCTCTATCATACATTCTCTCAATAAACAGTTATGAAGTAACTACTGTGTATCTGACATCAAATTGATATTATCTTTTAGGCCACACAGGATTTACCTCAACGATTTAATCAAATTGTAAAGATATATTTAGTTTTTTTGGACTGCCTGAATGATGAAAACAAACCCATATTATTATGGTATAGAAGATACACTTTTTAAAAGCACATTTCAGTTCTGAATTTATTTAGTCAAAATATGTGACGGCTCCTATCTAAAAACTGAGTGTAAAGGAAAAAGGAAGAGTTTAAAGTAAAATAGAACATATAACATTTTGTGGTCAGAGTCTGAGCAGAAAATGTAATTATAAACATCAGGCCCAGATGAAGATCCAGCAGAGTAATAGCCCTTTGTGGACTTTGTACAGTGAAGACTGAATTATTGTCCCAATGTACTGAGAGATGACACTGTCGTACATCTTCTGAACAGAGAAAACAATCACTCTGAAAGTGGAATTCAGAATGTAAAATGTAACCCACTGGCAATAAAGGAGACAGTGTTCCTTGTGCTGCCTTGCAGTGATTCTATTGTTGAGAAAATTACTATCTACTGCTGGTACTGAAGCCAAGGACAAGGTGGTATTTGTTGGCTATCGATTCTCTGAACTTGTCCCAAGAAAGTTCATCAGGATGTAATCGTATTTCAGAGAGTGGGGTGGAGGATGTTATGCACAAAGAGTTTTCAGAGTTTGCAGTAAGTCCCGATTATTCCATTGAGTAATAAATTGGTGAGTGGCACTGAAGACAAAATATCCTTCTGATGGTCTTGATTTATTATAGCCTTGAATTATAATTATAATTTATTATAATTATAAAATAATGAAGTTTATTTTTCTTTTATTTGGTGGAAGGTGAGGGTAACATTTCAAATGATTTTGGAAATTAGCACATTATGCTTTTTTTTTCATAATATATTTCAGAAGGATTGAGAAAGACAGGATACAGAGAGATAATTTTATACCCCCAGGATCAGAAAAACCTAAAACACTCTTTATCATATGAAAGACTCAATTATTTTCTCTAGGGAAATGCAAAGATTAGGAAAGAGCAATTGGCCCAAGGAGCAGGAAAGGAGAGATGCCCTCAGAAGAGATTTCCTTCTTTCCATGCCTGATGCACTCTCCATTGGGCTCAGGCTCCCCCTCTTTGCTTTAAAATGTTACCTCAAAAACCCAAAATATGTCTTGTTTTTAATATGCTTCAATTTCAATGTATTTGTATTTGCTGAGATTTGCAGTTGAAATTTATTTTTAAAGTACAGAATGTTAAAGTACAGAATGATAAAGGAGAAAAGTTTACAAGAGGAATTTTCATCTCAGTGACCTGCTTTGTATTGTTTTGTGGAATTAAAAAACAAAATGCCACAAGGTGTTAGTTTCCATAGGAATAAGGTCTTGGAATGCGAAAGAATTCACTGAACAAATACTGCAAAATAATTTCCTCAAGAAAATTGATGTCTTAGCAGGTTGCCAGTGGGTTCAAAGCAGTGTGGGTTCACAGGTCCAGGCTACTAAGAACCAGTGTCCCTTGTGATGTCATTTATTTATATGAAAACTGTTGAAAGTAAATAATTATGCATAATTTGCCACCATGTGAAAAATGTGTATGAGAAAGTTTATGTAAGTACATGAACTGATTTGAGGATGCTGAGATTATTTTTGGTCATTTAAAACTGCCCTACTTTCTCTTTGGATAATAACACTATGTCAGTTAAAAAGAACTTTTGGGAGTTTTCTATTGTGGTCAATTGTCAATAAACTTTTGCTGATTGTTTATCTTCCTTAAAAAATAAAAAAAAAATAGGGCTGGGATTGTTGCTCAGTGGTAGAGCACTTGCCTAGCATGTGCAAGGCTCTGGATTTGATCGTCAGCACCACATTAAATAAATAAATAAATAAATAAATAAAGATATTGTGTTCAACTACAACTAAAAAATGAATACTAAAGTAAGTAAGTAAGTAAGTAATAAATAAATAAAGCTGCTCTACTAACCACAGGTAGCTGTTGAAATTTCCTTCTCAATAAGTTGAAATTAAATAACATTCCTCAATTAGTGACTAAGTTGACAGTTGTTGGCCACCAAATTGGGCAGCATGGGTCATAAAACATTTCCATCATCACAGGGAGTTCTGTGGGACAGTGATGATTTATATACTTAATCTTATTGTTAAATCCCTTTTTTAAGACAATGTTAATTTTAAAAAGAGATGACATTAATGCAGAATAGTAACAATGATGAAAATTCTTGAGAGTATTCCTATGTGCTAGATTATTCCAAGTGCTTTTATATGTATAATCTTGCTTTGACATCAATTTTGTTATCATTCCTATATTTATATATGAGAGGGAATTCTAAGCCTCAGTTTGCTTGTCGATACAATTAGGACAGTAATCATATGTGTAAGGTTATCATAAAGATGAGATTATCTATGGAGTGCTTAACTTGGACCTAGGCACATAACATACAATAAATTGAGCTATTGTAGTAGCTTTCTTCATTGAATGAAAATGTATTTCATTCATAAGATGCTATATTTTAGGAAAAGATTAAAAGTAAATAAAGATTTACTGATTTTTGTTATTCTGGATATTTAGAAGTTTCCATGTTCTATTCATTTGTGTTTGTTCTTCTCCTTTAAGTTATGGATAAATAAATAAAAACTGCTCTACTAACCACAGGTAGCTGTTGAAATTTCCTTCTCAAATTTCCTTCTCAATAAGTTGAAATTAAATAACATTCCTCAATTAATACCACTGTTAATACCACTGCAAACATAGAACCACATCAATTATTTAATAAAATGTAAAATATAGTGTTGTTTTATGCAGTTTGACTTCCTGATACCCATTAAAGACCAGCAAGATAGTCTACAACTATTGAATGTGACCTTTGACCTCTGACAGATGTGAAAATGGGGCAAGAAAATTTAAGTATTTTTTGAAATCCCTAAATAAAAGTATTGTATATTATCATTGTGGCTACAAATAGCATCTTATTTGTACACATTAACTATAAGATCTTTTGGGCTACTTTCTACCATAATTGTTTAAACAATTAAGTCTCCTTTGTTACAAAAATTTGTATCTATTCCAAATCAGTCATAGGAAGCCAGATTTAAACAGCTAAGATACAACTTAGCCAATTTTTTTCTCTTGTTAATTATCTTTTAATAAGAATTCAAGTTACTGCATATTTAGCATCACTCAAAATTTCTTCTTATCTCTGCTTTTTTTGTTCTAAAGATGTCATAGGAAGAGTTTCTTTTTATGGCTGGAGAATAAAGACTGAAAACTCATTTTCTCTTGACTTTTAAACTTCATAGATGAACTTTTTGAGTTAGCCAAGTTGTTCTGCTGATTTTCTTTCTTTCTTTTCTTTTCTTTTTTTTTTTTTCTTAACCTTGCTTCTGTTGAGCAGAAGGACAGCTGTTTTTGGCTGACGAAGCAGCACATTCTGTGCTGTGTATTTTGTCATATATCTCTTGCTGCGGCTCAATCATCGGATGTGCAGGGCAATAGGAATGGAAATTCTAACCACGACACGGACACTGATAACAGTGTGTATCATTTGTGTGGTCTGAAGAAATGAAATTGAATGAGGGAACAAAATTATGTCTGACATTACCTGGATTTGCTCAAAAGGTACTTCAAAGCTGAAAGACTCATTGTAGTAGGGGTTAAGTGTGTTCTTTTTAATTGTTGTCTTTTTCTTCTTCAGCCTCTTGCCATTCTGCATCAGATGAATCTTCACATAAGGATCTGAAAAACAGACACAAAAACTTTAAATGACCAGAGACACAGATCGTAATTTAACTTATAAAAGGACCATGTATTTTCAACAGATAATTAATTGTATAGCATGTATTTGGTATTTTTTTTAAACTTCAAGCAAATTTTTATTGAAAGATTTTAAGTAACCTATGGGGTATGCTTTTAGCCATGCTGTATGAATATTTACAATTTTGAAGATGAGAGCAGCGGTGTGCTGGCAAACCAGCTCTTTGGAAAAAATAGTCTTGACTTAGCAATTTGCAGATTTCTGTGGTATAAGTATGCTCACCAGAGCTGATTTCAAGCCACAAATGGCTTAACAACCAGCTTGTAAAGTCCCTGAAAATTTAACAATTGACTTTTTGAGTTGGCAGAGGGCTTGGCTGCTGCACACGACTGAATGGGAATAGAACTTGACCGAGGAGAGGACAAAGAAGCCATGCCATTCGTTCGTTTTCCCATTTATCAACCAATATTAATTGAGTGCCTAAGAAGCATTAGGTATTGTTGAGTCCCAGAGGTGCAGCAGTGTTCAGAAAAACCTTTCTCTGTCCTCAGGATGGACTTCAGACTTGTTGGGGGAATAAGACGCTTGTAAAGAAACTAAATACATACGAATTAGAAGTGGAAGAAAGGAGCAGAGATCTGATAGCAAATATGGAGAATGATACAATGAGTGATAAGTAGGAATGAAGTTGTGAAACTGCTCAGGTAAGGCCTCTGTGCAGGTAACATTTCAGTCCAGATGTTGTGAAGGGGGAGAAGAAGTCAGCATGCTAAGATCTAGACCTCGTTCCCGTCCCCTAACTACTAAGTCCTTTAAATGGAAAAAATAAGCACCTAACTGTGATCATACATGTGCTTGTGTTTGAGAGACAGAGATAGAGACTGAGAGGAAGACAGAGAGGGATGACTGAACATTCCTAGGGAGGAAAGGGCTTCCTTCAAGTGTGCAAAGAAAAGAGAAGAGGCCACACCGAGGTAACGAGAAAAGGGCTGAAAGACTCTCTGAGCATTTTCCCTGAAGCCTTATTAGGCAAAGGTAATCATAAGCAAGTCCCTGGAGGGATGAGAGAGTTTCCACTGACAGCTCTCATTACTGACAGTGGAATGACACCTTCAGGAACCAACACCCAGGATGGAAAGGAAAATTTCCCCACTGTTTTTCTTAAACATTTTTCCATTTCATGTGTAATGCGTGTTCATTATAGAAAACTATCAGAAGGCAATGGTAAACAACCAAAAAAAAAATTCTTTTATATCAACCAAAATAACCACTGCTAAGCCTTCCAAATTTTCTCTCTTCTCTCTTGGAACACCAGGAGTTAGGAGAAACATTACAATCTAATCTAATGCTCACATATTTTTAGAAGAGAAAACTACAGATAAAAAAGGGCTGTTTTTATCTCCCCCTCCCTACTCATGTTCCCTCAGTAGAACATAACTCCTGAAAGACAGAAACTTTGCCATATTTGCTCTTTGAACTTACAAAAATAGGAACTCACACAAAGGCAGTTTGTTTGTTTGTTTGTTTGTTTTGGTGGTGGTGAGGGAAGGCAGGGGTTGCAGTAGGGGTGGTGCTGGGGGATGAACCAAGGACCTCACACATGCAGGTGGCCCTGATCCCTTGCTTAGTTCATTGGTAACTTTTTTCCTGACATCTAGACCTTGTTCCTGTCTCCCTACCTAATAAGTCCTCTAAATGGAAATACACGCATCTAACTGTGAGTCATACATGTGCTTTGAGGATACAGATTTTTAAAAGCAAAGTTAATCTCTCCTAAAAAGCAGGCCTCAGAATAATTAAATTTGTTCTGTTTTGGGGGCTATTCTGCAAAGCTAGTTCTTGTCAGTTCACAGTTTCTTGGTGGCTTTAGAAGTCCTATGATTGTATAAGATGGCATAATTTTATGGAAATGATAAAATAGGCTGGAATGAGACTCGCTGATGTTGTGGTTACTCTTCCTGAGTATATCTGCCAGACAACCCTCAGGGCACCTCAACACCCTTGGGCTTTTTGAAAAATGTAATAACATGGGGAAGTATGCAAGCTACAAAAGTGTGCTCCTGATCTCAGCACTCAATCTCTGTGGCTTGTGGATTCCTTCTGCTCCTAATATCGAGCACATGGAAACCTTCACCACCTGTGCCCTGACAATACTTTTTCAACACCGTTTAGATAATCCATGTTGCCACCCAAATGATACAAAACCAATGCTTGGGAGAGTTGACTTCTTTCATTTGTTTAATTTATCTTTAAAAAATAGTAGAGTTGTTTTTTAAAATTTGGGTAAAAAGGTCTTTTTTTTTATGTCTAAGATGATGACATATGACTGTAAGTTTTCCAAAAAGACATGATAAACTATGATCAGAAAGGAGGCTCTTCATTCCCAAAAGAGCGATGAGTATATTTCCTGGCCTTGTTCTGGGCTGTTTTCAGGCTGTCCCTTGGTTTTGGTATGGATGTGTCATTCCCATCCCTCACCCACTGTTGTCAGGCTTTTTTTATTTGTTTATTTGAAATCACATTGGCTGGACTTTATCTCCTCTGTGTCTTAATAGCTCTTCTGACTTGGAGGTTTTCAGAATGCAGCACTGACATCATTCTTAAACTTTTGTTCTCTGGTAAGCCTTTTTAATATCACAGGTTGAGGGTTTTTTTTTTTTTTTTGTTTGTTTTTTTTGTTTTTTTTTTTTTTCCTAACATTCACAATTATGGAAGGCAGTTCTCCTAAAGATGCTACATTCTAACCCTCAGAGCCTGGGAATGGGTTATATGGCAAACACAACACAAAACAAAAAAGAACCCACAAAAAGCCCCAAAACAAAAACAACAAAAAACAAAACCCCCAAACCTAGATAAACAACAAAAACAAAACAAACAAATGAAAAAAAACAAATCCAAACCTTTGCAAATGTGATCAAGATCAAGGATTTTGGGATGATATCATCCTAGAGTATCTAGGAAGGCCTGATCTAATCTCCTGAGTCCTTGAGAAAAAGAACCTTTCCTGGCTATGCTCAGAAAGAGATATGATAATAGCAGAAGGGTCAGATGTGTGGGTAGGTAGGAAGAGTGGAGAGGGAAAGTGGAATGAGAGTGGTATTAGTCAAATTATATAGTTATATTATGTGCATGTATTAATGTATAAAAAATTCCACCATTATGTACAACTATAATGCACCAATAAAAAATGCTTCTGATAAAGCATCAGTTAAAAAAAAAGTGTCAGAGGCATGCTATACTGTTAGCTATGAAGATGGAGGAAGGGGCCATTAGCCAAGAAATGTAGGTGGCCTCTAGAAGCTAAAGACAAGGAAATAGATTCTGCCTTAGAGAATTCCAGAAAGGAATGTAACACTGCTGACATTTTGATTTTATGGCAATGGGACTTGTGTCAGATTTCTTTTAAAAAAATCATTTAAAAATGGTTTAATCTTTAAATTGACAAATAGAGATTGTCTATATTTATTGTATATAATATTATGTTTTGAAAAATATATACAATATGGAATAGCTAAATTCAACTAATGAACATAGGCATATTATCTCACATGCTTATTTTTTTGTGGTGTGAATACTTAAAATCCATTCTCTTAGCAATTTTTAAGAATACAATACTTTTTTCTTCTTTTTTCCTTTGGAGATTGAGTCTAGTACTCTACCACTGAAATACATCCCCAGCCCTTTCTATTTTTTATTTTAAAACAGGGTTTTGGTAAGTTGCTTAGGGTCTTGCTAAGTGGCTGAGGCTGACCTTGAACTTGGCTCCTCCTGCCTCAGTTTCCTCAGTCCCTGTGATTAGAGGTGATTACATGCCTAGTTAATGCTTAGTCACTATGTTGATATGATGACTATGGTAACCATGTTATACAATAGATGTCTTGAACTTTTTCCTCCTATCTAACTAAAGAACTAAAGATAATAAATATGTGTTGTTTTAAGCCACTGAGTTTGTGATAATTTGTCATGGCAACAATGGAAAACTGATACAGCAACCAAATTTGAAGAAATAATTCTATTGTTTATCTAGCTAAGTGTGTGAAACAGAGTCAATTTTTATTAGGTCTAGAAAATGATCTTTTGAAAAAATTGTCAATATTTTCACTCTTAGAAAAATGATTATTTTGTCCTTCAAAGAAAAATCTTCAAAAAGTTCAAGTCTTTTCAATTAAAAAAGAAAGAAAGGAAAATAACATAGAATGTACCACCTGAAGATGATAGTAATATACTTTTCAAGATTATAGTAGAACAAATGGCATATAAGTTGAGAATGAGTTTTACAAGGCTTATAAATAATAATGTTCCTTTATATTTGTAGAACACTTTATTGGTAGGTATATATTTAAATGATATCATCTCCTTTAATCCTACAACTGAGCCTTAGAAAAGCTGAATTTTTTGAAGAACTCAACTCCATGTCTTCTGTCTCCAAACCTGGTGTTCTTTGTGCTGTGTTGGGGAGACACTTCAGTATAGAGCATACAGGTAAAGACTCCAGAGCCACGGCCACTCAGATCTTGGCTCTGCTACTCACTAGCTGTGTGGTCTTGGACAAGTTATTTAACCTTTGGGGCCCTAGTTCCTTCAAATCTAAAGTGGTGAATGTGAAAATACCGAGCTCACAGTCGTGAAGATGAAATGGAGTTACTTCATGCAAAGTGCTTGAGAGTGAATCTGGCACATATCCCTGTTGGTTATTCTGATAGTGCGGTGGAAATGAAGACCTCTAAGACAGATGTGTGAATCTGAGTCCCCCAACTCACTCTGCTGACCTGGTGGCCACCCTTGGTAAACGGGGGGGGGGGACCTCTTTTCATTTGCTTCACAAGTAAGACAAGCTCTGCTAGTGTCAGTTTTTTTTCTGGAAAGTAATGTACCCATTCTAAGCAACTGGCTCACTGATGAAGAATTTAATCACGTAGGTGATAAAAGACAGAGAATGTCTTTCACTACTGCCATATGAGGTAGTTCTGAGGGGTGAGAT